ACTTCGAACCTAATTATAGTAATACCAGTTGCCATCACTCTTTTTCACATAGTTCTTTATAAAAATTTTGACAAGAATTTTTTAACTAATACAGCTCTAGGTTTTTGATCGCAGCAAGAAGGATAAGAAATTCCGTTGCTGAAATTATAAAAAAAAATCTCATATTGAACAAGCGTAATTAAATGCGAAAATACTAACAGTACTATAGTATATCACTTCTCTATCGACTAAAAGACGTCTCTCATGATTCGAAAAAAAAATTCATCCAATATATATTATATTAGATGACAAACGCCTTGATAGAAGATTTTTAAATACAAGAATATAGGACCTTATCATAGTAATTGACGTAACTTGCTGGCTTAACCATGCGTTCATCTTTATCTTTGCTCAATTGCATCATGCCATGAACATCTTCCGCACTTCTGTATGCTTCCTGCCATAATTCCATTTGTATTGCTGTATCTAATTGTATTAAACGTGTGTCCTGCATTAAGGTCAAAGATTCTGCACTAGTTAATTTCACCCTAAAATGATATTGTCATTACTGTTACATAGTTTGCCAATATTCTATTGAAAAGAGTAAGCATATAGTCGAAAATAAAAAAAATCCGCACAGATGCAGGAACAGCTAATGCAAAACATTCCAAAAAAAGATAAAATAATAATAATATTGACAGGAACTTACACATGAGCCAAATGCTGGTGCTTTTGAATTTGCGTTAAATGTAACCGAAGATTATCACATAATTTACGGAATTCCGTTCGCCGCTGATACTTCGCGCAGAACTCAAACGATTGCCGAGCAATACGATGATACAACTGTTCCACCTGAAAATTTGTTTAACTATTACTCGTCTTCCTATTTAATTTTTCATTTATTACAAACTATCCTATTTATATTTCTATTTGTTTAGTATATTCAATTACTTAAATAGCTTACTTCCATATACTAACAGTGTACTAACTACTCATTCGTGAAATTCAATATCCGGAGAGCAATAGAAAGTGAATTCTCTAAACATAAACAAACCAATACAAACCACAGCAGTATTTCTCAATAAATCAAGACAGTTTCGATAAGAATCCCATAAAAAACGTAGCCAAGGGCTCAATACAGTTCGATCCATTCGATCTTGTGCAGCATCACCGGACACAGCTGACAATAACAAGCTAAAATAATTGTTATACAACCATGAATCAAATTTACTCAATATATATCAAATACTGAAAAAAACACACTTTTCAGGAGCATCGGCTTGATCCAAATCATCAATTTCTTCAACTTTTTCAATGGAAGTCTTCTGCGCTTCTTCTGTTTTTTGCTGAGCAAGCTCCAGAAACCGCTGTATAACAGTTTCAAGAGATTTAATGGCAACCTAAAGAATTTTCAACAATAAATAACTTCTTTCAAATTTTCTATCACACAGGAACAAGTTTTTGCCCATTTTCTTAAAGTTTTCAATGGGTGACGAGCAGTAATATTATTTAAACAAAAGAAGTTAACTGTTGCAGTTTTAGAACAGACAGACCGGAACTTGTACAGTCGTATTCAAAGCACATTGAAAGCTAAAAAACAATGAGGAGACTCCTAAAAACTTTAAAAAGACCTGTTGAGTAAGTGTTTTATATTGGAAAAGAGCATCTTTGGCGAAATGTGCACGTCGTAATGAAACGCAAAGTTCCATGTGCTTCAACATAATTGCTTCATGTGTTTTCGTCCATTGCTTGTGACGTTTCGACTAGAATACGCAATCATAAAAATTAAAGATTACAACATTGTTTACCTGGTTCTCGACTGCTGCAACAAGAAAGGCCAGAAAAGAAAGAATGTATGTTGGTTGACATACCAACATACGTTCCTTCTTTCCAGGTACTACAAGTACCGTCATTGTTCATAACAAACATTTTTCAAACTAATAAAGCAATGTAGATTATATCGTGGGTCTAAAAGTTGTGTTTCTTAGTACAATGACACTCTTTATCACTGCATTATTGATCTCTCAAAAATTTGTTAGCAAGAAAGGAAAAATATTTGTAAACTGGTGCTTGAAAATATGGTAATCACGGATACCATATTTTTGATTAACCAATTTGTTTGTTTCGCACTCCAAAGTGTATCCATATGATCAATTTGTCATGAACAAGGATTATAATTTGAGTGCGTTCATGGGCAATGAACTCGGCAGCAATGTTGATATGCTTTAAAATAATCTCGAAAAGACAGCTTACCTTTATAGTATCGTGGAGCGTTTCTAATGCATCCATCTCCTTGCCAACGGAAATAAGTTCATGAGCACGTTTAAGTGCTGTTTCGGGTTTTTGAAAAAAATTTGGAGGCATCCTACTTTCCTTTTCTGTTTTCTATTTCAAAGTATAGCCTCCTCAAAATTGAGCTTTCAATGCTGAAATTCAACGATTTTAGAATCAAATCAGTATCGATGAAGATTAAATGAGAAACCGAAGACAATTTGTAAGGTATTATTTTGATTAAAATGTAAATAAAGCAAAATAACCTAGTCGCTAGTATCAAAATAACTTTCCAGTTTCCTGATTATGACGAACAGTACTAGTTATGGAAATGTGCTCTAAGATTTATCCGGACTCTAACAATATTCTTACTGAAGACTTTCCTTTTCAACCTCAAGAAGCATCTCCTACAACTCATCGAAATATTGTATTAAATCCACAAATTTTGGATACAATTTGCTACATGGGAATTATCTTCCGATCGAAACTTATGAAATATATATGTCCGTAAGATAGAAAATCACGATTAACTTATCAGATTAGATAGGCCTAACTCGTAAATCGACAGAAATGCACTCATCACTCTTCCGACATAAAGCAGTTGTACTGAATGAAAAATTTTTGGTGACAAACAGACGGAATTAAATGAGAGTTTCTCAAAAGTCAGAAATAAATGAATCCGGAAACATATCCCGACCGCAGGTGAGTGTCCTTACCTGCTCAACTCATTCCGAAATGGAGGAAACCTTTAAATCACCAATCAAAACTCGACAAATTTACCGTGAGCCTAATCCCCTCCACAAAAAAGTCTTACAGAAATTATTCATTAGTACAATTACCGCAGGACTCACGCATCTGTTGCAGCTAAAGTGCCGCAAAATTAATTCCCCGATGTGATCGGTATGGCAGGACAGACGAGTGGGTGGGTGGATAGGCCTCAGAATGAGTAGGTGGGTGGTCTTTCGGTAAGATAAGTAGCCTGGGGCGTTATTTGGATGAAGAATATTGCGAGGTTTTATCAGGATTTGGGTAGCATAAAGAGGAGAAAAGATGGGAATATTGCTGGAAAAGGGGCGCATTGCTTGAGGAAAATGATGATTGAAGTTGTAATTCGAATTAAAGGAATATATTCGGTGCCTGTGCGTATGAATCTTTGAACCTAATTTTTCCTGTCTTGTTACAGGATGTGAAATGGTGGATGAGAGGAACGGTATACTTGAAAATACTGACTTTACCAGGTCTTTTCATATGATTTAAAGCCGGGAAAATAGTTAAATCATTAGCATGTTTATTTTTATAAGTATACGATGTGCAGTATTTAGGGAAACACAAAGTTTCTCCAGTTCTATTTTCAGAACTAACCAGCGTTTTTGATTCTGCAGTTGAATCACTAAATCGGAAGAGATGCATGTTAAGCTTGTCTCGTCATTAAAAGAAGTGGAGATAAAAATGAAACGTATAGATGTAAGGACAGTAGAGCAGAAAAAGTTTCCTGTGGAAATATTTTGTTTTTGAAATCGATGATAAGTGATCTTTAATCGCTAGAGATGATTCATAAATCATGCCCGGCACATTCTATCAAATAGCATGGAAAGTAGAGCTTGCGTGGGTAATATATTGAAGTGTGAATCCTCTCTATTTGCTGATATATTGCATTTTCTTCTAACATGTGCTCACTTTCATAAATTCAAGTTCTCTTTAATTTGTATGCTTACTGAACTTTTGTTTGTAAGGCAATTATGGCGAAAGTTTCGGTTTAACGGGAATACGTTGAATATTGATATTTACAAGGACGAAATTTACAGGACGCAATAAGTTATAATACGCAAATTTTATTTGGCATGAAACAACGCTGAAGACAATATCACCGTTATTATCGTCGATTACTTATATTTAATCCTGAAGATTTCATTGGCAACATTATAGCTGTTTGTACAATTTTTTGAGGTAATTGATTTTCTCTCACTACGTGATTAACTACTATTTCAGCAATCACTTTATTTGAAATGCTTACTTTTAAATTATAAGAATAAAATCGTGGCAAGGAGATGAAAGAAAAGAAAGGATACAATATTAATAGGATAATACAATATTTGAAATCTGAAAGATACGAATTTTTCTATATGCGGTATATTACTGCAGTTATTTTACTTCTTATCAGGAATTCGTTTCATTTTTTTAAGAAGGATTTTTAATAGTAAAGATAGAAATGTTCATTCAATCATTCTGGAGAAAATTTTGGACGGAAATCTAAAATTGAAAAAATTTGTCACTGTGATGAAAGAAAATATCTCGCCTTGCTGCTTGTTAGAAAGTATGATGGAATAATATCTATCGTAAAGTCAAGTGTGATCATTAATATTTAAGGCTTAGTGAAAATGGAACATTAGGTATGAATCGTGTCAGATGACACGTTACACAATGTTCGTCTATATTATAATTCTTAGTAATTTATTTGGAGAGTTAAATATTGATTGTATTTTTGCTGCTTTATTGATACCTTCCCGAGTTTGGAAACATCAGACAGACCTCATCTTGTGCTTTGTATTTTTTTTTCTTTCTGAGACCCTCAAATGTTTTGGAAATCAATTTAGGTTTCTCTGAATGTGTTTCTGCTAAATTCCAAACTTTTAGAGAGATGGTGAAGTGTATGTGGGATGGGTTAAAAGAAATTGGAATGTGTTTGTGTGAGCCCAAAACCCTGGTTTAGCTACCCTAGATCACAGTATGGATTTTGTTCCAGGAATCATATGGGACTGGCTGGTATGATTGCAGCAGGTACGGTGGCTACAAGTGCTGTTGCTGTGACGGCTGTGTGTATGCCGTTTGTCACTCCGGCTTTGCGTAAAATCTGCATACCGTATGTTCCAGCTACGCCACAACAACTGCAAAATGTTGCAACGGCGTTGTCAGCGTGTCCAACTAAAGTCTCACCTCTTGTCGACTTGGGTAGCGGTGATGGACGTGTTGTGAGCTCTTTTTCCATTTCTGAAACTGAAACTAAAAAGTTTTTTCCATGTCTCGTGTTTTTTCAATTGATAATAATGCCAGCATATTCATCCAAATGTAAAAATGCATAAATGGCTTAGTCGCTTGAACTTAGATCATACGCTTATTTACTGCTTTTTCTTTCGCTTATTTACTGCCTCTTCTTTTGCTTATATTTAACACTTATTAAGTGTCACAAGACGTTATTTTCTAAGAAGTGAACAGAAACCGTTCAAAATTTTATTCATTCTCTTTCCTTTTTTTTTACCGTAAAATTTATCCTTACTGAATGAAGTACTAACGATATGAAAATGAGATAGGATGGAAATAAAGTAGATGAAACTCAAAGCAGCTTCAAATTTTGAAATTTAAAACTGGTTACGATTGAAAATAGAGCGTT